GCGCTACAGCTGCCCTCTGGGGGCGGGCGTAGTTGTGATGGACACCTTTTCTCGGTTCATTTTGGGAAAACTGCGTAGGTCTCGCTCGCTCCCGCGACCAGTTGCGGTTGTGGCTAGGCAACTTCTAGATAGCAGTTGAGGAAGTTTAAGCGCCAACTGTTTCCTCCCCATATCTTCGTTGTATAATAAGCTGTTTGCTTTCTTTAAAAAAAAAAAAAAAAGTGGTGGGGTCGCAAGCCTTTAATCCCAGCACTCTGGAAGCAGAAGCTGGTAGATCTCTGTGAGTTGGAGGCCACCAGCCCGGTCTATAAAGAGAGTTCCAGGACAGCCAGGACTGTCACACAGAGAGACCCTGTCTCAAAAAAAAAAAAAAAAAAGACTTTTCCTGTTCAGGACCATAAGTCAGAATGGAGCCAGCCAGCACCTAATGGGCACCTAAATTTAGGACTCCCAACGTGGGCCTCTCTCTGTGTTATAACTGGAGGCAATAAAAGGATCTCCGTGTTCTGATACTAGAGAAATTGAGAAGTAAGTTTTCTCTTCCGTTTTCAGGGCACCCCCAGTATTCTCAAGAACTAAGTTCAACTTCTTTCCCAGAGCTACTGCTAAGTTCATTTTTAACAGCAGGTTTTGAACTAAGAGGGTGGGGTAAGGATAAACGAGGAAGATGGGACAGGAGAGACGGTTCGAAGAGTGCTTGCTGAGGAATTCGGGTCCTGGTATTCTGTAACCCCGACTCCAGGGAGACGGTGGCCCTCTTCTGGCTTCTCTGAGGACCACCACATATGTGGCATACACAAATAATAAAAATAAATCCTACAAAAAGAAAGGAAGAAACCCCTTTGCAAAAAAAAGCTCCGTCAGTTTTTTCTTATTTTTTTTCACTAGGATACAAAGTTTAAAATTGAAAACATTTTATGATGAGAATGATGGCACTTGAGAGACTGAGACAGGAAGATTGCTGCAAGTTCAAAGCCAGCCTGGGCTATCGAGTGAGTTCCAGTCCAAATCCTCTTTAAAAAGGAAAAAAAACAAAAACCACTAGACAAGAACAACTTTGTGTGTGTGTGTGTGTGTGTGTGTGTGGTGTGTGTGTGTGTATGTTCAGGTGTATGTTGCATATGTAGAGGCCAGAAGTTCCAGAAACCAACAGCTTCCAAGTCTGTCCCTCAGAAGCTATGCACGGTTTTTCCTTCCCAGTTTTCAGTGTATGTGCTGCCAATACTAATACCACCTTTTTTGTTTGTTTGCTTGCTTGCTTTTTTTTTTTTTTAAATTTGTAAAGGTGCCTGCCAAGGCTGGCAGAGGGCATCTGGTTTCCTGGCGATGGAGTTACAGGCAGTAGTGAGCACCTAATATGGGTGCTGAGAACTGGACTTGAGTCCTATGCAAGAACTGTCTGTATGTGCTCTTAGCACCTGAGCCATCTCTCCAGTCTAGCAGTACAGTATTTCTTGTGTTGACTTATTTCATTCATTTGGTAATACTGTCACCTAGTGTTACCCATATTGTAAGCTAGTGTCAGAATTTCCCTCCTTCAGAATGCCACAGGGCATCATGGTGACTAAACACTGCATTTTATTCACATGGATAACATTGATGTGGCCCCAGTCTTTTGGCTACCACTTTGGACATGCAGCCTCTTTGGAACCTTCCTTTGGGTCCTTCTGGCCGTTTCCCTGGAAGCAGGATTTCGGAACCATAAATCCTGTTTTAGCATTTTAGAGAAACAGTCATGTTGTTTTCCATGGCAACTGCAACATGGTTTCACACCTTGCTTTTTTTCACTCTGGGACTCATCTTGAAAATAAATTTCAATTACCCTTTCAAAAGTAACGTTTTCTAAACGTTCTGTGCAGAAAAGCATACAATAGATGAACATCTTGATGAATTTCACAAACTTGAATACACCTGATATGAAAGAAAAAACAAGGTGTGGTGGTCCTGGGGACTGTGGATAGTTGTATAACTGTTTCCTCAGAATGGAACCATACTATGCAGGACAGAGACGCATAGGAACCAGAAAGTAAACTGAAAGAGGGCTCAGTTAAGAGTCCTTGCTGCTCTTCCAGACGACCTGAGTTCAGTTCCCAGCACCCATGTCCAGTGACTTACACCTGTAATTCAGATCCCGGAGAACTGGCACAGCACCCTGTCCTGGCCTCTGTAACTTACACTCAGACACATACACATAAAATAAAAATATAGCCGGACGGTGGTGGTGCACGCCTTTAATCACAGCACTCGGGAGGCAGAGGCAGGCGGATCTCTGTGAGTTCGAGGCCAGCCTGGTCTACAAGAGCTAGTGCCAGGACAGGCTCCAAAGCTACAGAGAAACCCTGTCTCAATAAACTTAAAAATA